CATGCTTAATATCATCAGTAAAGTAAAGGTCTCGTCGTTTAGAGACAGATGACGAAAGCAAACTAAGGTGGCAATGTCACCAGATTGTTCGCACACTACAATACTGAGTTTTTAGCAGAAACATATTCACTTGTTTAGTTTTTGTGTTTCCAAATGGCTAGACTATACCGTTTTGTTACTGATGATTGCCGAAAAGCATAAAACAACGTTGCTATTGTTGCAGAGACGGAAAGCAGACAGATACCATTCAACCTGTACCTATTGTCGTTGGGTTGGAACTTTTTATTAAAATATCTTCCTTTTTAGATTGTTAAAGAAAAAGTTTCTCATACAAACTTGCAGTTTTGAACAGTTAATTCTATGTCTGCATTATGGCAGCGAAACATCCAAACAATGCTGTATGCTTACAGTTAAGACTCATGCATAATGAATACCCTTTCACAACAAAATTTAAGTTGATTACGAAAACGAACATAACATTGATTAGAAGACTGGGCCCAAAATTAAATCAGCGTTCACAGGTGGCTCTTTTAATGAGTAATGATGCCAGAGAAACTGGAGTATACAAAAGAGGAGACTTGACGTCGCGCCCAGGCAATGAAATTATCGCTAGAGGGTGCCTATGAATGTAAACAAAAATGAGGGTGGAAAGCATGAAGAAAGTGTTAAACTCCACAATTCCTAACACTAGATTTTGTGCTTTACGCACCTAAAAAGTCTGTCCCAATTGTTTTGCTAAAATGCCTGAAATATAACCTTTTGATTGTGTACTTACCAAGACAAAGTATAATTTAACGAAATTATGTGTTTCGAATCCCTCTCTGCATTCTGCACATGAGGATTTACATTTGCAAGGTATAACTACAAAGTTATCTTTTTTATATGTAGAAAACAGCTTCGGCTTGCGTCTGGTATTGCTACTGAACACTGTCAGCAAAGAAACAAACTCTATAACACGATGCTAATTCTTGCGTAAGAAGCGTGAATAAGAAGGCACGTGTCGTCCAGTTGTCTTTTAAATACGAGAATTTATTCTGGACATGCAAGGTGCCCAATAAGGTGCTGCAATCTTGGTTGATTACCCAATAAAAACAGATGTAGTTTTAGTGGTGGTGAGAAACGAAGCCTAGCGACTTGGCTACCTTCCGCTTTTTTCCGACCTCAAGTCTACTACACGCTTATCGGCTAGTTTATAGAAGCTTTTTGATCTGTTATTGAAGGTCAGGATGTCCGACCATCACACTGACTATGCAATTACGGCGACAAAGCCTAGAAAGTGGAACGTCGTCTGGTCATCCTCCCAGCACATGGAGCACATAGTATCTCTTCTCTCCCTTAGGAGGTATAAATCACTGTTCAAGTCTGCAGTGGCCGGTGAGACAATCTCACCAATAGATTCAGCGATTTTCTACATTTGTGCAGTAGCCAGCGCATATGATATTTGTCAGGGTCCGCTCTATACTTCTCTCCGTCTCTCTCTGGTCACACTTTTTCCAGGTCTCAATACGATACGCCTATTCATGCAATGTGGCGTTGACCTAGCGCCTGTTTATGCCCAGCTGGACTCTGGAACGATGCGGAATTTACTACTGAAGGGCATTGGTGCAGTTGTGAACTACACCTGAGTTTGTCCTACGAGATGTCACTGTCTTCAGGACGGATAGACTGTCGTCTTTTCTGGTGCTATGTGTAATGCTGCTCGCCGAAGATCAGTTGTCCAATTCTCTTTTAAGGCTACACAATGACTAATGTTTCTCATTCGGTTTGTCGGAAAATGGTAGCCGTGTCTGGCAGCAAAAGCTGTAAAACGTCAAAAAAAAACGACAAAACGTCAACTTTCTGCCTAGTTCCTACTATGCTACGAGCGCTGTGAGCGTCTTCAAAAGAGACCATCTATGAAGGAACGAGGAGATAGTCTGTAGAGTATACTCTGAGAAGATGTGTTGAGTAGTAGAGCAGCAAGATCACGTCTGGACGATTGTGTGTAAAGGTCCACAAGTGTATAAAATGATATTTGCTATGTGAGACAATTTATTATTACTGGATATATGCTGCCCATGAAACATATCTATTAGCTGTGCCAGACAGGTTATTTATGTTATCCTTCTTGAAGAGAGGTTATATATTACGCTTTTCCCGGCTTTTTTGCGTTTTCATAAACTTCGAGAAGCTTTCCTGAAAATGTGTGTAATTAAGCCACATCACAGAAGAATTAGGAATGACGCATTAATACATGAAAACTATTTTCGTTCTGCCTCACATCTATTTGCATTTTCTTTTTGACATCGTAAAATAAATGTTTATAAAATTTAAATGACTGGAAATAAAAATTAATGTAAAATGTAATAACTGTTTCAAGTTTCATAAATATGTCTCTGTGTGCCATATTTTCGCATCTGTTTTAATATACCAGGGATTTTTTTTTCTTATCTCTCTCTTTTCTGAAATTCAGCAAATTTGCATATGTAGTTTCCAGGTTGAATCAGAAAAAGTGGAAGCGCAACTAGTTTTGCATACATCTCAAGTAAGTGTTTTTGAGACAAGAAACCAATGGCATTATCATCAACACAGATTATTAGCACACAAATACTCGCTATGCACCTATGCACTGCCGTTTTCTTCAAGCTCTAGTATACAACTAACACCTTAGACTTCCAATAATGCCATCTCTGGAGGAGATATTACATCACATCAAAGCCAAACGTGGATAGTTGAAGCATCATGGCGTATAGACATCACGTATAGCTAGGAAACGAGTGTACATCAGCTAGTGCTAAGGTGTAGGAAAACCTACATAACGTCACAAAAAACCTAAATAATGTCAAAAAACGACATAATGTCGCTTTTTAAGACACATAATACCCCTGCTGAATACTAGTCCAGTTTCTTATAGTTTTGCTGTTTTCTGCCAGGACCGCGCTCCTCGTAATATATATATATATATATATACGTTCTAAGTATGAAACTTTACGGCGTTTTATAGTTTCCAGCAGCTGCCTTTCTACACTACATCTTCTTAATACTTCTTTATTTGGGATGTGTGCAGTTACGAAGCAGTCGACGAAAAATCCATAATTTAAAAGCCTGGATGCCATTCCTAGTTCTTGCTTTGAGTGTAAGCCATAGGTAACACCGTATTACACGTATTCCAGTTATTATAGTCGTACTTTTTCATCGCATTATCACCTTTATTTAAAGTAGCGCCAAAGTTATGTTAATTTTGTGACGCATTAAATTGTTTTCCTGTTAATTGTGAGAGGAGTCTTGTATTGATGTCTACTGATCACCATTTTTGCATTGGGAATATTAATTCGTAACCCATATTGCTAACTGGCTTCGTTGATTCTCTTCAAGATTCCTTGTAGACCTTCGACCTTGTAAGCAAATATTGTGGTATCATCTGCACAACGGATACCATTTAATGTCTCTTTTAATTCTCTAACGCTACCTGGAAGATGTTTACATAAATTGAACCCTTTCACAACGGAGGATCTTGTTACGAAATATGTCTGTCCTTACGGGGAAAACTCCGCTTGCTGATTTATACGCTTCTTGTTCCAAATCAACATTTTGTGACACGCTGATCTGTCCGCTTCTCGTTAGGAATGACTATACATCTTTGTAATTTTTATTATATCCTTTAGTGAAACAGCGATAATTCAAAAAATAACATGCCAATTTCCAAAGACATTTTCATACAAAAATGTTATTCAAAAATACAGATACATACATATATTTATGTATATAACAAAAATATAACTCAAGTAACAAAATCTGAATATACATATACAAAAGGAACGTTTAAAATTTTAACAAAGTGTTGCACTTCGTCGCCGGGTTGCAGACATTGCACATTTTGCCGATGGTAAGAATGTAAAACTTCCCGACTTAAAATGATCCACGCGAGACTTTGGGAACATAGCAAGTGGGCTGCATCCGCCTAGTACTTGTACTAGGATCATCCAACGCCAAATTTATGACTTCCATTTTCTCTTGAACAGTATGCCGGACACCATGGCATCTAACTCCGGGAAGTTTGGTCTTAGTAATAAACGCGTAAAAACTTTTGGGGTAGGTAGGCGTCTGTTAGGAAATCTTCGTTCATAGTCCCGAAAAGCCGCTTAAGTTCAAAGTATTTGTGTATATTATTATTATAAGCTCTTGTCCTTCACATGCCAAAATATCATATATATCTCATCAAATAAAATAGCGATAATGGAACTACGTATGTATAGTTCCGAAGGAATAGATCTGAAAACTTGGAGCCTTGATACTCAGAGTTCCCCAAACTTTTTTGTGTCGTAGACCGCTTGTTTTTCCGTGTTGGATAGACCCCCTACTTACCTGATATTGATTTCCTGTAAATTTCTAACTGTAGTGAAGTTTAGTGTTAAAAACACATGTTAATTTAGACATTTATTAATTGAATTTAAATTAAAACTAATATAAATAAAATTTTGTATCTGTTATGTAAAATATATGTAACATTAAATAAACAGGTGTCTGACCAATAAGTGCCCGCATTGGGAATAAGTGCCCGCATTGAAAAAAAAATAAGAGGGATAAAATAAAAAAAAAGTGAAAAATAATAAAAAAAAGTTTTTTACTTAAAATAGTACAATAAGCGAGTTCGTTTATTAATTATAACATAAACGTATGTTCTACAATAATTTCAGTGTTAGTTTGATTAAATTCCGCTTCTTATACGTTTAAGTTATCTAAAAATAGGCAAAAAATTAACGAATTTTGGTGTGTACCTATCATTGAATTTTCAGAATAATTTAAAAAAAAATATTTTCTATAAAGGGGAGTTATTTAATAAAATCAATGCGGGCACTTATTCCCAATGCGGGCATTTATTGGTCAGACACCAATAAACATAAAATAAACTATAAATAAAATTACATAAGCAATAAGTCAATATTTTTAGTGAGAAGGATGAACCTGTTGCTTTAATAATAAATTATCAACATTTGGCGTCAATTTTGTAAGGGTTAATCTTAAATCTCCTCGGCTAATGATGACGATGGAAAGGAAATTAAAAATTTCCTCGCTATATTCCATAATACGGGATAAGTAACGGGTATGTTGTGTTGCAGCCAGAATTGCTGATATCCGTTTTTAAACTGAACCTTAAGTTCTTCGTTTGTATTTAGTTCAGTCAGTTCCTCTTGTATTATGACATTCGTTTCTTCTATGTCACCATATGGATTAATTATCCACGGTGGTATTACCATAGTCAAAATATCCTGAAATTTAGATTCAAAATCTGAATAGAGGGCATTTAAATGTTGAACGTAAGTTGAAACGTCGTCTTCCTGGCAGTTTGTCTGTGACAAATTTTGGAACTCCACGATAACGTCCAACCATGGCAGGTGCTCCATCTGTAGCTACTGATATTATATTTGATAAAGGAATTGCTTTTTCAATGAAGTAATCCTTCAAAAGATGAAATATTGATTCACCTTTAGGGTCGGTTATCAAAGTTCTTGCAAAGAGCAGTTCTTCGTAGATTTCTTGATTCATAATAAAACGAACTTATTCCAATAATAATGCTGCATTATCAGATAAAGTTGACTCTTCCAGTTGTATAGAGAAATGGGTCGTTTGCAAATAATTACATAAGAAGCTTTCAATATCAGAACTCATTTCATAAATACGTCTTTCAACAGTATTGTTACTTAAGGGAATTCTTTTAATGATATCAGATGCAGGTTTGTGTAAAACAGTTTTTAAAACCTCTTCAACGGCAGGCAAAATTAACTTCTATCCGATAGTATGCGGTTTTCCGGATTTTGCTATAAGTAACGAGATATTGTAAGACGCCCGCAAACCATCATCTTTTTTTTGTGACGTCGAAGCGAACATTCTGTGCAGTGTAGGTCTCTTCTGAAATTTATCTTTAAGGGTTTGAAAGTATTTCAAATCTTTCTCTGTTTTATCAGGGTGGCATCTTCTCAGATGATCTTGCAGTTTAGATGGTTTCATAGCGTCATTGCCCAAAACTTTGTTGCATAAAAGGCACATAGGCGATTGTTTGTCCGGCAAGGATGGAATGAAGCCAAATTTCAAATAATCAACACTGTACTGTCTACATTTCTTTTTAGATTTGGACATGGCATCAGTCATCTGTGGACAAAATTAAATTATTTAAATAAGACAAAAAATCCAGCAGCTGCATATTAAAAATATTTTTTGATTTTTCCGAAAACATTCCATAATTCGAACATCTTCTTGCAACAACTAGCTCGAATTACGGAGATTGCACTGTAATTATATTACCGATTGCTAAAATTTTCAAAAAGAAACTATTGAGGAGTACTCGTGTAATTTTGCATGATTGAATATTTAACTACTAATAACTAAAGTCATGATTGGCGTAATTTATCTATCTTTGCTAACTACGAGTACAAAACTAAAATTTAATAAAAAATAATGTACTTACTTTTCTCCAGCACTCTCAAACAAAATAACACTGACTCACTATAATTTGTGATATACTATCTGTTTATATTTTTTAAAATATTTTCTTAGCACTTTCCTTTTTAAGATTCAGGAAACGAATCAACGTATTTGTCCCACATTCGTATTTATAGAGTGACGAATTGAACAAGTTAGTGCAAGGTAGCGAAGCCCTGAGACTGCGACTCTCAGGTTTTTACAAGTTCAAAATGTATTGCGGCCACAAAGCGAATACCAACATCCTACAACTTACACATATATAATAAATTTTTTACTTCATACGAACTTTTATAAATAACGTATATGTTTGGATATTATAAGATAGTATGATGTAAGTTAATAGGTACTATCAGTGTATGTGTTGAGATCCACTATCGTGGACCCCCATATTCATTTCATGGACCCCCAAATTTTTTTTCGCTGACGTAGACCCTTTGCAAGTTGTAACATAGACCCTTAGAGGTCGATATAGACCACTTTGGGAATCAATGCTTTATACGATTCATGATTGTAGATCTTTTCACGGTTTTTGGCGGGTTGCAATAAGACCGTAGGAATCACTTTCATGCATACATTCTTCATTTCTGTCTTACTGCCTTCAACATTTTTCCGTCAACGTCTGAGCATTCTACATTTATACCTGTCACTGTCAGTGTGAAAACTTATCTGAAATGGGTGTACGATTTGAAATCCCTTTTTACGATCCTGCGACGTTGTGTTGACGTATCTAAGGAGGGTTTTTAACACTGAGCTCTTCATCATTTATTGAAAAAATCCAACACAAATACTGCAAAAGGTTGGGAAATCTCTAGACTGGGGATACTGCAGACCAAAATATGTGAATTGACCTGAACATACCTTTATCCAAAAGTTGATAGTTACAATTTTAATTTCTATTTTTCCTTATTGCTTGAGAAGTATTTCAGTTTTTGGCATAAATCTCGGTATAGAGAGGTTTTCTAGTATGAGTATCAAAAATCCTTAATTTTTTGTGGCCAAACTTTTAGACGGCGCCACTTACAACACTATTTCGCTAAATAACTTATCATAACTGTTTTGTGCTACCCTGTATATCTGCTATGAGACATGGCATATCATTAGTTACGTTGATACTGTAATATATAGACAGTAAAACTTAAATTAACTCCAATCAGTAGGGATCTTTTTCTTCCGTTTCATCGCTTTCTGATCAATAAGAAGTAATATAGTAACTAAAACCAACTTTTCGATTCTTTTCGACTCTCTGCTGAGTTAATTTTCTTTATATGCCGGGTGTTTCAGGTGCCTTCATCGCCATTGGGATCTCGGGAACGGTAAGAGATACGAAGTCGCTTAAATGGATGCAAAGTGTCGTATTAGGTAAGCCTCGAAATTCAAAGTAATTCTGGAAGGGGGAGAGAAAAACAAGAATTTTCCAAAGCACTTTTAATCTTTTCCTAACTTTAACTCAGAAAACGGCTATTAACAAGTTTTGCAGTTCCGAGTATTTCCAGAGTAAGCAAATCGATTTATTTTTTTTTTACTTTATTTGAGATGGGATTTCTCAATAAATTGCACATCACTTTGCCACTTTTTCTCCTCTACGAGATAGCATAACTAGAATTTTCTTGCAACATTAACATTATTTTGCCTTATGTACGCCATATAACATTTTTGCACAGATCTTCTGTCACTTGGGTGTGGAACAATCTACATTAGGAGGCTTTTCTTAGTTGAACAAATGGGTTAACAAGGTTTCTTTAAGTTTCTCATACCTGGCATCTCGAGTTCTGCCGCTATAGAGTTCCCTAGCCCACATTTTCTCTTAGCGGGCCTGCAGATATGCTACTCTACGAACTAAGATATGTTGCTCCATTTCTAGCTTCATTTTCCATTTTACAATTACTGGCATAGCTAAGAAACTGCACTCTTTTTCTGAACGAAATATGTTGAAGAAAATCCATTATACGAGAATCCAATTTGCAGTGTGCGCCGGACATTCTCTCGAGCAAGAGTACAATTTCCACTTTAATACGATTTATAGCTATGTAATTCTTGATTTAATTACGCCATTGTGCTAACTAAATGTTACCATATTTTTCCCGGACTGACATAATTTTTCCTTGAATATTGTCTATTGTCTCGAACTTGGGAGGAAATGATTTAAGAGAAAGGAGAAAGAATTAAAAGAAATCTTAGTTAATTATATAATGCGCCTAGAGGGGATTTTTAATTATTCATTTTGCTGTGCTAGGCACGAGTTTTTCAACTTTTATTTTCATAATGGTGGAAAAATTTCACAAATTTATTTCACCAAATGGAGATATAATTGTTGAATAACTGGAGTCTGGAGACTTTCAAATATCTAGTGAATAGTTTAGTCACAAGGCAGTCCATTGATCCATCATTCAAGCGCGTACCCAGCTCAAAACGGAGGGGTGGGATGCACGGGGGCACCTTCCAAAGTTTTTTTGGTGGAAGTTTCATATTTTTCTTTCTATTTGCATTTCATTTATAGAGAAAACTTCTAGGACTACTTTTTGGAAACCTTCAAGCAAATGTTCCGCGTGATGCTTATTTAAGTAGCCTCTAGTATAGGGCTGATTATGAATACAAAAGATTATGGAAAATAGATATCTCTGACTTGAAAAAAAAAGTAATGTTTTCAATACCTTTAAACAGCACTTGATATATGACAAATGTTTGCTATACTTTATATAATATATCTATTTTTTGGACGTACATATCCCTTGAAATTCAAAAAAGATGCTCATTGTTTCAGTCAATAGGCCAGAGAAGTTTTGTTATCGCAAATAAACTTCAAATGGAAGAACAATTTTCATATATCACACAGTAGGTACTTTTTTGTGACGTTCATTAGGTAATCCTTGGTCTTCTATTACAGACAGAAAGCTATTTGAAGTTTTTGTTCATCGGTCCCGTTGTGATAGAGCAGTCGTCAAAAAAAAACTAAATAATCATTAGTCCTTCTATAACTTGGAAAGTATCACTGGATTCTGAAGAAATTTCGAAAGGCTTCCCTAATGGTACCAGTTTTATTAGCAAAAACTCCATAACTAACCCAAACTTGACTGTATTTTTTCGTTTATGATGGTTTTGGATGCATTCAAAAATCTCCTTAAAGGAGAATTCAGAAAGAAGTCAAACTTTGTTGATATATTTTAAGACCTAGTCAACAGTTTATTTAAAAGATTCTGAAATTCGCCAAAACTCGTTTTTCAAATTCTAATTATCCACCCACTTTTGTATAACCCCAAACACAACACGAGATGTGCAATTCGAAATGTGGAGTGAAATCTGAGTTTAATGATATTTTAACTAGAAATGTCATACAACTTATTTGATCATGCTAAGTAGCCTAATGTGAACCTTGTTGTAAAAGAAATTATACAGATGGATATATATATATATATATATATATATCTCGTATATATATATATATATACAGGGTTATCCAAATTAAGTGTCCACCATTGGTAACTTTGTTATTAGTAAAAATACAAAGTTGTTTAAATTAGCAAACTAGTAGCATTTTTAACGCTGGTAAAAATGAGAAATAAAAAAAAACAATTGAGAGTCGTTATTTTGATTTTTTTCAGTAAAATAACATTTTTTTAAATGGAAACCCCTGTATATTATATTTTTTTCTGTTAAAGCATCAAATTTTAAACAAAAAAGTTCATAATGACTTTTCCGCTAAAGTCAAAAATAAAGTCAAAATAACGATAAATA